ATTATAAATACTGTTTTATTACAAGTTACTGTAAGGTTTACTTACTGATTATAAGTACTGCTGAAATCGTTCTCGAGTACACAAGCTTTACCGTTAAAACTGTAAAAGGTGTAACTTGTATTAAAACAATATTAAAGTAAAACCCTCGTTTCAAAGAAATTAACGTCATCGCTTCATATTTCCACTCTTGCAGAAACAACTTCAGTGATAATAAATAATTTTTCATGAATTTTCCCACATTTTATCTCTTTAAATTACTTTAGCTGGAATAATTTCATTTATTATAATCAACATTTCAAAATTGATGCAGATGTTCTGTAGTAATATCAACTAAAATAGTGTAATATTAAAGTTAATTTACTTAATCTACTTAACTGAGTAAACTGAAGTGACCACATATATAAAATTTATCTCCGATACAAAGTGCAAAAATACTGTTATGCTACATTTTAAAATTCACTATACCAACGTAATACTAATTTGTATGCGTATCATTTGCGTATTAACTATTTTCTGCATGCTTCTACTAATTGCGTTTTAACAGAACATAAGAAGTTCGCTGACAAGTGTTAACTTATTAACGGCTTCGACTGTGCACGTTATAAACACTGAAAGAGAAACATAGATTAAAACGACAGTATTGTATTGAAAATTAATCCCTGAAGAGTTTGGGCAAACTGAACACTCTTCAATGAAATGCCCCCCAGTGGCACAGCGGTATGTCTTCGGACTTACAATGCTCGAAACCGGGTTTCGATACCCGTGGTGGGCAGAGCACAGGTAGTCCAGGGTGTAGCTTTGTGTTTAATTAGAAACAAATAAACAAATTCAGTTAAATACGGCTGAGTTCCGTTCATGGGTAAACTGAGCATTTCAGTTAAATACGGTCGAGTTCCGTTCATGGGTAAACTGAACACTTCAGATAAATACGGTTGAGTTCCACTCATGGGTTAAATTGAATATTTCAGTTAAATACGGTCGAGTTCCGTTCATGGGTTAAATTGAACATTTCAGATAAATACGGTTGAGTTCCGTTCATGGGTAAACTGAACACTTCAGTTAAATACGGTTGAGTTCTGTTCATAGGTAAACTGAACATTTCAGCTAAATACGGTCGAGTTCCGTTCATCGGTAAACTGAACACTTCAGTTAAATACGGTTGAGTTCCGTTCATTAGATCTTTACTGGTTTGAAATCACATTTTCTTTGGTGAAGGAAAAATATACAAGGATAAATGTTGTTCATACCATATATTTTAATTATGCTTTCGTTTAATAAAATATAAACTACACATTTTATATTCATAGAATTTAGAACAGTCATCGGAACTGGGAATCTTTGTGTTCGGCCCCTTGGGGGGAGAGAGGGGATCAGCTGCCATCTTATCCCATTTTCGTATTATTGTTTGGACAAACTGTATGTCAATGTCGTCCTAAAACTATTGATTCTTCAGTATTTCTCACTGCTATTCATTCTATTGGTTCAGTTAATAATAATTTTTAGAACTAATATTGACCTCCAAGTAAAGAATATCACACGTGCTTTCCATTGAGTGGGTGGAAGTTGATATTGTTTGGAAAGTCAGTATATGTTATTATTGTGGGTAACAATAGCAGTGCCTATTGATAGCAAACAAAACAATGGATTAGACAAAAATCATTTCTAGAGTTTAACGTTTTCACGTTTATAAACAAACACCAACGTCTCTCTCTTTTAATCGTGGAATAGTTTCAAGTCAACATTTGAGTCATTAAGTGAATCAAACGACTCAAATATAAGCTGTTTCCTGCAACAGAATTTAACACTTATAGCTACTACCATATACTTCATTAGAATAAAAACTCATGATGCTGAGAAATATTTTTGAACCTTGTTAAAGTGACATTAACAGTGAAAACTTACCATAATCTTCTAGTCAATGCATTGCACATTTTACAAATAAATCTTTGCGTGTAAATTTTGAAAACAGTTTTTAATGTGCGTTTTACATACGTAGCATTAATTAACGAAACTTTACAGTCTACAAAGAATGCCAAATTCTAAGTTTCGCAAAAGGTGTTTTGACTAAATATGGTAAACATATGTTGTAACCAACATACGGCCAAAAAGAAAAGAAAGATACTCACGCAGATAAATAGATAGGCATATAGACAGACCAGACAAATAATATGTTTGCTCGTCACCGTACCATATTGTTCATACTTAACTTTGTATTTCCTATAGCAAATATGTAACAACACGTAACTTCATAGTAATGGTGTGATTAATGAAAACGTGAATAAGCTACCTGGGTGTAAGCTCAACGTATCATAGCTACGTACTCTACGTTTATTTTACAGCAGTTTAATTTCAAGAATTTAATTAATCATGTCATCATTCCATGAATATAAGACACGTCTTCGCTGCCTTTGTGTTTACTATGTAAAAAAACAACAACAAATAAGTTAGTAGTTTAGATATAACAGAGAACGATATATACAGCTAGATATAAATCGAACAGAAAACGATTGCCTACAAAGCTTATGCAGATATACTGTTGGATAAACAGACAGACACATTTATATCGAAAGTTAGATAAAAAACACAAAGATTGAAAAAATCAACTACGTTAACAAGTGCACGCACGTTAAATAATTCCTTTTTGTATGACGGAAATGATTACACCAGGTTACTCTACCAGAGAAAGCTTCTACTCGCATGTCTACGTGGTTCAAGAAAATACGGGAAAATCGATATACGGGTGTGACAGCTTCAACGTGTAAACCACACTTGACAGGTATTGTACTCTCTCTCTCTCTCTCTCCTACTGACCACCAAATTCGGTGGCTCAACCGGACAGGACTTGTACTCGCTTTCTTACTGACCATCAAATCAGGAGGCTCAACTAAACAGGTCTTGTACTCTCTTTCTTATCGACCATAAAATTAGGTGGTTCAAACGGACAGGACTTGTACTCCCTCTCTTGTCAACCACCAACTCAGCATCCGGATAGGACTTGTACTCCCTCTCTTATCGACCACCAAATCAGGTAGTTCATCCGGACAGGATTTGTACTCTCCCTCTTATCGATCGCTAAATCAGCATCCGGATAGGACTTGTACTCTCTCTCTCTCTCTTATCGATCATAAATCTAAGAGGTTCAACTGGACAGGACTTGTACTCCGTCTCTTATCGACCACCAAATCAGGTAGTTCAACCGGACAGGACTTGTACTCTCTCTCTTATCAACCACCAAATCAGGTGGTTCAACCGGACAGGACTTGTACTCTCTCTCTCTTATCGATAAAAAAACTAAAAGGTTCAACTGGACAGGACTTGTACTCCGTCTCTTATCGACCACCAAATCAAGTAGTTCAACCGGACAGGACTTGTACTCTCTCTCTTATCAACCACCAAATCAGGTGGTTCAACCCGAAAGAGAAAAGAGGAACTTTAAGTAAACCACAAACCATTCACAGTCTATATTAACTTAAACTTATTATAAACAAAAATATAAAACTTCTTGGTTGTATTATAATAACTATATGCTGGACTTACAAAAATATAAACAATAGGTAAATTATGAATTACCTTTAGAAACCTCTGACACATTCCTGTACTATAGGCTAACTTTATCAACATTTTGTCTTTATTAACATCTGATACATTCCTGTACTATAGGCTAGCTTTATCCACATTTTGTCTTTAGAAACATCTGACACATTCCTGTACTATAGGCTAACTTTATCAACATTTTGTCTTTATTAACATCTGATACATTCCTGTACTATAGGCTAACTTGATCCACATTTTGTCTTGAGAAACATCTGACACATTCCTGTACTATAGGCTAACTTGATCCACATTCTGTCTTAAAAAACCTCTGAAACATTCCTGTACTATAGGCTAACTTGATCCACATTTTGTTGTGAGAAACATCTGACACATTCCTGTACCATAGGCTAACTTTATCCACATTTTGTCTTTAGAAATATCTGACACATTCTTACTTTATAGACTAACTTCACCAACAAATTCGTTTTAGAAAATTTTAACGCGTTTTAGTTCCATGGAAAACTTGACTCATAAATTGTTTTTAGAACATTCCTGCTCTATATACTAGTTTATCCCCAAAGAAAACATTTACACGTGTTCTGTTTAAGCTTAAGCAATGGACTGTGGCGCATGTCATTATTGTAGTAGATTTAGTAGTGTTACCTGCTTGTGTCTAACAGTGATCCTTTTTTAACACAAGACACAACTACTACTACTGAGCTGACTTTGATAAACGTACATGCTTCTATCTAGTGATGGCCCATTTTTATTTTTTTTAAGAAAAGATACACACTTTCTTTATTGTGCTTGGTTTAGTACAGATACTCGCTTATATCTAATAATGTCCCAATTTTTTATTTTAACATAGGAAAAATATGCTTGCTTATATCTAATAATGTCCCAATTTTTTATTTTAACAGAAGAAACAGATACTCGCTTATATCTAATAATGTCCCAATTTTTTATTTTAACATAGGAAAAATATACTTGCTTATATCTAATCATGTCCCTCATTTTTTATTTTAACATAGGAAAAATATGCTTGCTTATATCTAATCATGTCCCTTATTTTTTATTTTAACAGAAGAAACAGATACTCGCTTATATCTAATAATGTCCCAATTTTTTATTTTAACATAGGAAAAATATACTTGCTTATATCTAATCATGTCCCTCATTTTTTATTTTAACATAGGAAAAATATACTTGCTTATATCTAATCATGTCCCTTATTTTTTATTTTAACAGAAGAAACAGATACTCGCTTATATCTAATAATGTCCCACTTTTTTATTTTAACATAGGAAAAATATGCTTGCTTATATCTAATCATGTCCCTTATTTTTTATTTTAACAGAAGAAACAGATACTCGCTTATATCTAATCGTGTCCCCCTTTTTATTTTAACAGAAGAAACGCTTCTTACTACTATTCTAAAAATGGCAAATAAATGTATCATTCCTTACCTCATCTTTCTCCACAAAGCCAACAAATGATGACCTCTCAACCTCCACTGGTTGTCCAGCTTTGTCGTACAACGCTACCACGAAATGGAAGAAGTTGCTTTTTCGTAAGTTGGACGGAGGTTGTTTTTCGAAGTGAGCCCGTCCTAGGCCAACACTGAAACAGAAAGTCATTTGATTAAAGCATGGTTTAAAAAAATGTAATTATATTGACACGAAAGTAAATAGTTTATTAATCAATTTAATGCACTGAGAACAACAATAGACTGCTTGATAGTAATGTAATATGTGTTGTTTTTTAAGCACAAAGCAACACACTGGGCTACCTACGCTCTGCCCACCTAGGAGAATAGAGCCCCGAATTTTAGCGCTGTAAGTCCGTCAAATTACAGCTGACTTACCGGGGAGGACAATTGCCCGATAATGAAATCGCTATATTTAGTTAAAGTATTAGAAAATACTAGATATAGAACAAATAAAAAGAGTGTGTATGAAATACAATTCAACCATTGAAAAAAAAAGAGCGTTAGAAACATTATAACACGATGAATGGGCAAATAAGAGATTTAAACAATAAAAACTGATAGGGTTAAATCAGGTTTAGGGACACGAGTACTTGTCACCAGTAAAAACACAGAGTCGTTTTATAAGTTGTCATCTTTTAAGGTAACAGGCACACATATGTTTAATATACTGTTTAATGTTCAATTTATCAATATACTGCACTGAGAACAACGATAAACTACTTAATAGTAATGCAATATGTGTTTGTTTAAACACAAAGCTACACACTGGTCCACTTGTAATCGTCAACCAGACTTTTTTTTTTTTCATCGCTGTGTAAAACTGGAAGTTTATCAGTTTTCATGTTGTTAAAAAACCAAAATTCCGTGAAGAAAAGTTATCATACATGCTCACAGACAAGAGTACAAATATATTTTATTATTATATTTTCCTGTCAAGGATATTTAATAAATGAATATTTTTAACCACAATTAATGCATTTCTCAGAGATTAGGCAAGAGTTAAACTTATGCCTCATGTTCATACAGAGAGCAAATAATTAATACTGCCTAAACAACTTAAACAGCTACCTAACTTTTAACATGTGAACGACAGATTTTCGCTTGTGACAGATATACAGAGGTCAATCTTTGTTATCCTGTTTGGAAAGATGATAGGTACAAGTTAACAGTATTTAATCTGCTGTTTGTCCTGATAACAACTTTACTTGTCTCTTTACTGGTTAGGCTAACGATCACTATATAGATCACCTCTTAATTTGTTGTTTGCAATAATGACGTGAGTCAGCCTTTGATAAGTGCTGTTTACGCTAATGACCACTATACGCCACTGATTGATTTGCACTCTGCACTAATGGTACAAGTCAGCCATTGATATGTCGTTTGATCTATGATAACTCTAAGCGATTGATACAAGAAATAAGAGAACGTATCTCCTTCTCATATCTATACTTCTTTAGGAACCTTTAATTGTAACGTAAAAGCAAATATTTTTACTATTTTTTTCATACATGTCTACTGTCATTTTAATAATATACTTCAAAAGGCTATTTTACTGCGATATATTCAAAAACCATATCAACAGTCTTTGAGTTCAAAATATATATTTTAGACTCCAAATAAAATTATTTTTATAGTCTTTATAAGACAATGAATATATAAAAATAATGATATCGAAATTGTTTATACATGATGAATGGTTTGTAACTAGTAACGTTACTAAATTAAAGGTTGTAACAGTTATCGTCACTCAGGCCAGTCTGTTGAATATTAGCAATGTAACTAAATTAGAGGCTGCAGCAAACAATAATTATAGCTATTATGACCCGAAGGAGTCACTCAGGCCAGTCTGTTGAATATTAGTAACGTTACTAAATTAAAGGTTGTAACAGCTATCGTTCTCCGAAGGAGTCACTCAGGCCAGTCTGTTGAGCAGTAGTAACGTTACTAAAATAAAGGTTGTAACAGCTATCGTAACTCGAAGGAGTCACTCAAGCCAGTCTGTTGAGTATTAGTAACGTTACTAAATTAAAGGTTGTAACAGCTATCGTGACCCGAAGGAGTCACTCAGGCCAGTCTGTTGAGTATTAGTAACGTTACTAAATTAAAGGTTGTAACAGCTATCGTGACCCGAAGGAGTCACTAGGCCAGTCTGTTGAGTATTAGTAACGTTACTAATTAAAGGTTGTAACAGCTATCGTTCTCCGAAGGAGTCACTCAGGCCAGTCTGTTGAGCAGTAGTAACGTTACTAAATTAAAGGTTGTAACAGCTATCGTGCCCCGAAGGAGTCACTCAGGCCAGTCTGTTGAATACTAGTAATGTAACTAAATTAGAGACCGTAGTAAACAATAATTATATAGTTATCGTGACCCGAAAGAGTCACTCGGGCCAGTCTGTTGAACATTAGTGATGTTATTAAATTAGGAGTTGTAGCAAACAGTTATTATAGCTATATCTATCGTAACCCAAAAGGGTCACTAGACAATTCAGTTGAATTCAAGCTATCCTGAAACATTCACTAACCTGAGTCTTTTCTTGTTCAAATTATCCTGATCCATAACCAACTTAACTATTCATACAAATCTGCTTACAACATTTTAAAATACATATGACCGTGTTAGCTCTTTTTTTTTTGTTATCTCTGGTTCGTAACCAAAGTCTAAAACTCTACAACTTTTGCAAAAATTCAAAATATTTTGAACACTGTTGGTTTTTAGTTAATCTTGTTGTCAAAGTCATGAAATGGGTTTTAACGTACATAAATATTACAGGTATCCAAGGAGACTAAAACTCGCTAAAAATTAAAACAATTTAGCTATTTTACAAACATATTGTCATTCGCTACTGTAACACATTTGTTCATAAGTCGTAAAACTAAATTTATTGTTAAGTTTGTGTACTGTACAGAAGAAGGAAAGTGAGTAGAAAATGTAACCACTTTGTGCACTGTACAGAAGAACAAAAGTGGATAGAAAATGTAACCATTTTTTGTACTGAACAGAAGAAGGAAAGTGAGTAGAAAATGTAACCACTTTGTGCACTGTACAGAAGAACAAAAGTGTATAGAAAATGTAACCATTTTTTGTACTGAACAGAAGAAGAAAGTGAGTAGAAAATGTAACCACTTTGTGCACTGTACAGAAGAACAAAAGTGGACAGAAAATGTAACCATTTTTTGTACTGAACAGAAGAAGGAAAGTGAGTAGAAAATGTAACCACTTTGTGTACTGTACAGAAGAACAAAAGTGGATAGAAAATGTAACCATTTTTTGTATTGTACAAAAGAAGGAAAGTGAGTAGGAAATGTAACCACTTTGTGTACTGTACAGAAGAACAAAAGTGTATAGAAAATTTAACCATTTTTTGTACTGAACAGAAGAAGGAAAGTGAGTAGAAAATGTAACCACTTTGTGCACTGTACAGAAGAACAAAGTGGACAGAAAATGTAACCATTTTCTGTACTGAGCAGAAGAAGGAAAGTGAGTAGAAGATGTAACCACTTTGTGCACTGTACAGAAGAACAAAGTGGACAGAAAATGTAACCATTTTTCTGTACTGAACAGAAGAAGGAAAGTGAGTAGGAAATGTAACCACTTTGTGCACTGTACAGAAGAACAAAGTGGACAGAAAATGTAACTATTTTTTGTACTGAACAGAAGAAGGAAAGTGAGTAGGAAATGTAACCACTTTGTGCACTGTACAGAAGAACAAAGTGGACAGAAAATGTAACTATTTTTTGTACTGAGCAGAAGAAGGAAGTGAGTAGAAAATTGTAACTCGTGTTTAGCTAGTGTCAGTCATAGAACGGAAATTCATAACATGAATATTTTATTTTAATATACATATAAGTCAGTCAAGGAAACAAAAGCTTATAAATAGCAATAATGCATTTTAAATATTATCACCCAGAGAAAGGAAAGTACCATAAAACACACTTGTATTTGGCATAACACTCAAAAATGTAATTATCATTATTCGAAATATATCATTTAGTTGTAAATGCATTTATAGCACAAAATGCACATTTTTGGCACGGTTATTATGCCAACTAGCTAAGCCTAACTTGCTGTGAAAACTCTAGAGCTATACTGAAATCAACAAAGCCAGTGTTCGAGTCATTCAGAGAATTTTCTGTAATTACATAAACACAAAGGTTGTCCATTTACTTAACGACGCCATGTATGTGTAAATTGAACACGAGTCACAATAGTTATTGTTCTCTTTTGAATATATTTACGGTCTTGACCCCTGACACGTTTAACGGATCGATCAAGTTCAATATAGAAGACACTTGTTTGTCACAACAACATAAAATATTTTACATGCTTTATACTCTAGAAAGTAAATACTGACTACGCGCGATCATTAGCGATTAAAGTTTATGTATAGGCATTAGCGAACAAACATATTTTACTTTAAGACACCTAACTAGTCATTTCGCCAACTTAAATTTAGATAAGAAGAAAAATTAAGATTGAGCTGTCGAACTTAGGTTTAAATTATTCCAGTTAAGTGATACTAAAGACCTTAATGCTCACCAGATTTTAAACACCTTAAGAGCTCACTTTCATGTTTCGTCCTTCACCCTCGTCAGAACAGGGCGATGACTACCGAGAGACTTACTACTAATCCTCACCTTAAGCTTTCCGATATTAAACCGGTTAGATAAAGGAGAATAGGAAAATTAAGAGTTAAGTTCCCAGCGCGAGACTTAGCGACCATTAACAGCACTCACCTGCCCGTGGTCTGGTCGATCATGGTAGGCTGCATCCAACCGCTTCGCACCGTTCCCAACTGGCCTGTACACAAGGGCTCTTCCTTCAGCGTGGCCATGGGGCCTCGAGGCTGCAGCCCGCCCTCCTGCAGCCCGAACATGGGCCACGTGGGTCGCACGGTTTTCGCCAAGATGTCTTCCGAATGCACCTTGTACCCGTAGGCAGGCCCTTAGCCCAGCGATTTTGAAAAAGGTTTCTATTGTTTAAATTACAAGTGCAAGCAAATATCTTCGAAAGCTTGTCACTAGCTTCTCTCCTGGTATTGTTTGTTTAGATTGAGATGACTTGGATTCCCAGCCTTCCGGTACTCGGTGTAATGTGAACTCCCCCTCCGGGACCGATGATCGGGGACCCAGGGCAGTTACTTGCCGCTAGAAAGCGTAGATTCTACACGTGCTCTTCCGTCAACTGTCAGAGTGTAGCTTAATACTGGCTCAAGCCTCTGGATGCGGCGGCTTTAAATCGACTCCCGACGGCTTGTGCTGATTTCCCCTTGCGATAATACTAGAAACACTCATACCATTTTTCAAAGAATGCTGGTTTCTGTTGAAGAATCGGCTTACTTCGCGAGTTTCTGTGTTGTTCGCCACGCGGACCGTGCCCTCTACGAGCGCCAGTGTGATGCCGTGATTCACATAGGGCTGTAAATGGTGATTTGAAGCGGAGAAACCTACCAGGGTCTTGTTTTGTGCTCAGTCAGTAGGTCGAGTAAGAGGCACCTCCCCAAGGATAACGCCTCCTGGGAGAGAATGGTAGAAGCGCCAACAGGTGACAGACATGTGGCACGCCTCCTATCGAGGAAGTTAACCAATGAAAAGTGAGAATTTATCCAACGAGCCAATGTGATAAGCAGAAAGGTTCAAGCGTTGGCAGACGCTTCATATTTTGGTTATCATGATATTAGCATAAATTATATTCATCCACTAAGTATTGTATGGACGTAGCGCCGCCAAGAACTCCAGAATCCCAGCGTTCTTTCCTAGTGCTGCACTCTAGCTTCCAAAGAAGGAAATGTTGAAAGTAAATTATGCAAATCCGATTTTAACTCTTTAATCGAGTTTCTGTTTTAAATTTAATATAAAATTAAATATCAAATATTATATTTTTTAAGTAAAAGTTTTCGATAGTAGTTATTAATAATAACTTCTGATTAGAGTAAGGTATCTACCTACTTAGAGGAAAATTAAAATTCAACCTGGTAATGGGTATATCTAATTAAATATACTTTTTTTAACTTGTTATCTCGAAAGACTAGAATACAGTGTTTCGTCAGTTGAGTAACCCAACTTTTCACGACATTTTCGGCAGTAATCCCAATAATATCTCAAGAGGTTTGCCCACTTTAGGAAATTTATGTTACCCTTAAATACATATATATCGAATAAACAATCAAAAACAGTCACCATAACAAAAGTATAATACTAGAAGATACACTTGAAAGTTAATAATAGTTAGGCCTATTAAACATTTCAATGAAAGTAGCGACAATGAAATAATAGAATAAAGCTTATTGTAATGGACAGGCTATTAATTTGTCTCAAACATTACGTATACAAACGAATTGTTAACAATGCAATATCAAATATACATATTACGATAAACAGCATATATAACTAACTATCTATCTACTTCTTCATCAAACTATTTAACTGGCATTGATTTTCCAATTTGTGATAATTTCTGAGCTATTTTACAAAACTCGTTGCATTTGACCAATTCTCTGATTAGAGTTTTATACCTTTTCAATAATTAGTTTTTAAATCTTTATAAAATATACAATTTAAATCTCATTGTTTAGTAATACAAAATTATTTCAAATATTGTCGGAAAATGGTCACTGCTGCAGTTTTTATACATATTTGAAAAGCTAATCACATTGAGTTATATTTTTATAAACTTTATTTTTTCTCTTTTGAATAAGCTATCTGTTCTGAAATGTTTGGTTTCATTTGCACCAAATAAGATAGATGAAATAGATAAAATTCAAAAACAGTAAAGTTATAGCTGACGAAAAGTATCAATATAAATAATTAATATGATACACGTCAGTGGTTTATAAAACTAAAACATTGCCAAGTTGGGAACTGTTGTGCTAGTTTTTCAGATATAAATAATTAATATGATACACGTCAGTGGTTTATAAAACTAAAACACTGCCAAGTTGGGCACTGTTGCACTAGTTTTTCAGATATAAATAAGTAATATGATACACGTCAGTGGTTTATAAAACTAAAACATTGCCAAGTTGGGCACTGTTGCACTAGTTTTTCAGATATAAATAAGTAATATGATACACGTCAGTGGTTTATAAAACTAAAACATTGCCAAGTTGGGAACTGTTGCACTAGTTTTTCAGATATAAATAATTAATATGATACACGTCAGTGGTTTATAAAACTAAAACATTGCCATGTTGGGCACTGTTGCACTAGTTTTTCAGATATAAATAATTAATATGATACACGTCAGTGGTTTATAAAACTAAAACATTGCCAAGTTGGTCACTCTTGCACTAGTTTTTCAGATATAAATAATTAATATGCTACACGTCAGTGGTTTATAAAACTAAAACATTGCCAAGTTGGGCACTGTTGCACTAGTTTTTCAGATATAAATAAGTAATATGATACACGTCAGTGGTTTATAAAACTAAAACACTGCCAAGTTGAGCACTGTTGTACTAGTTTTTCAGATATAAATAATTAATATGATACACGTTAGTGGTTTATAAAATTAAAACACTGCTAAGTTGGGCACTGTTGCACTAGTTTTTCAGATATAAATAATTAATATGATACACGTCAGTGGTTTATAAAATTGAAACACTGCCAAGTTT